CACATACCCTATCGGTCGCTGAGGACCTCGGAAGCGGGCGCGGCGAGTGACAGGCGTCGTTGCCCTTGGCTTCAGCGAACGGTAGGTGACCCCTCCCCGGGCTTCCTCACATTGGGTCCAGCGCCATTATAGAGATCCACGAAAACCCTAACATGTATGTGTAATATTTGTGTGATATGTGTGATGATTTGTGATCTTGTGAATTTCAATGTCTAAACACGAAACCCTAACTATGATGTGCTGTAATGTGAATGGTCCTTATCAATCAAAACAATATGAGAGATATGATATGTATGTAAGCGGGGGCATTGATTACTTCCCCACGCAAGGGAAGTATTGACCACCCGCAATGTATATCCTAACCAGCCCCCCTCAGCACTCCATTGTTGATTGGTAGGCCGGACAACACCAATCAACATCAATTGGCAACACAATCAACAACGATCAGCCCACTCCTATCCTCAACCAGACGATGAGGTTAAAAGGGGGAAGGGAGGGGGAGATGGCAAACCTCTTATCCACATCAATCCCAATCTCCTCCACTTCAGCATGCGGCATCACACCCGTCGTGCTAAGGCTTTCAGCCCCGCTGCTGCCGTGGTCATCGCTGCCTCCGTCGTCAACACTACCGGCATCATCGCTGTTGTTGTTGATGTCATCCCCAACCCCGCTCTCAACCCTGCTGCTGCCACTGTCGTGAATGTTATTGTTGTTGTTGTTGCTGTTGCAGTGATCGTTGCCGCCACCATCGTTGTCACTACCACCATCATCATTATTGTTGTTGTTGTTGCCACCCCCAGCATCACCGCAGTTGTTGTTGATGTTATTGTTGTCGTTGTCGTTGCTGTTGCTGTTGTTGTTGTTGTTGTTGTTGTTGTTGTTGTTGTTGTTGTTGTTGCTTCTGTTGCTATCGCCAGTGTCGTCGCCGCATTTATCTCCGCTGGCATCCACTCCGCCCTTGCCCTTATCACCCATCTCACCCTCCAACTGGTTGCGAAGATTGCGGCCCTTTATAAAGAGGGCTTTACACACATCCATCCCATCATCCGCCCGCCTCCAATCTGTAGGGTTCGGGCCGTGGATCCGGCCCCTCCTCCAGCTCCCACATGACATCCAACATCTCGTGGATCATGTCATCTAACCACTACTCCATAGAGACCGCCCCCCCATCGATCTCCACCCCCTCCTGCCTCCGCTGCATCAGCGTCCCCACTACCATCCGCAGCTGCTTGCAGCCCTCTCCCAGTGTGTCGAGCCATTCTTCCGCACGCTGTTGTAGCTCCTCCACCGAATCCATCTCACGCCCAATTTGCTGCACCATTCACACGATTCACTTGACAATCCCACGGCTGGCGCTGCCCCCTGTCCACGTGTCGTGGGACGTCCACGTCACCAATCAACAGGCACCAAGCGGCGGATAACCACTTGCACCTGTGGCCGTTGTCGGGCACGTAGGCAGGCCCAACAGCTGGGGAGCTATTCTCCGCTGGCGCTGGTTGAGCCGGGGTGACCGGGCCCCCCCGGTCGGCCGACTTCAGGGCGCTAGCGCTAGCGCAGTCGACGTGCTCACTATCGCACTGCAATACATTGCATCGCATCCGATTACATTGCAGATCCTTACGCCTCAAGGTGGGTTCTGAGAAGGTATAGAGTCTACAGGGTTTAAGGAACAGACATGGTAACAACGAACAGGGGGGCTGCTGAACAGGGCTGGGCTAATGAAAAATGGGTGCTCCAAGATGGGATGGGTGTTACTAGCAGCTCCATGCTATGCATCCCCCCCGGCGGCGGCCAGGCGCGGCCAAGTCCGCGGCCGCGGCCAGGCCGCGAAGCCCGCGGACGCGTCTCTTTGCGGACGTGTGGCGGCTGCTGGGGAGGGAGGTTGAGGAATCGGGAAGCGCCACGTCGCAGCGCAACCCCAGCCCCACCCCATCAGGCAAAAAAAAACGAAAAAAATCAAATTTTTGGTTGGGGGGGTAAGGGCGAAATTGAAGAAAATAGAAGAAAAAAAACGCGTTTTTTTTTTTTTTTTCGTTGATTGATTGGTTGGGGC